TTCCTGATGATGCCTGATACCTGATCCCTTCGACACCTCGTGATCACACTGGCTGGTGCGACTCTTCCATGTGGGCTTTGTTGCTTCTGAGCTTGATGGCCTCTTGTTACCTTCAAGCCTTTAAGATCCCAGACGCTATATCTTTTGATAGCTGGGCACCATCAGCTTTCTTCACATTTGCTTATTCACCTGCTTTGTCTTCAGTGGTTGTGTTGGGAAGGTGAGCATCATAGAATGCCAATTTAATAGAAGAAAGTCTTCTTGCATTGAGGGAATACTTGAGTGGAGGCCCAATGTCCTTCTGCTACCTTAATACTAATACTAAATAATATGCACATAGATCTATTTCCCCATCCTCGTATATAAATATATTTGCATATGTACATGTCTTTATCTAGACCTGTATAAATGCCTTTGTCTCCCATCTCTTTCCTCTATTTCCTTTGACGTTCCCCTTGTCCCACTATCATGCTCAGTCCCCATCAGGGTTTCAGCAATTCCACTTGGTTACATTACCCTTGTTCATGCCTTTTCAGGCTTCCCACACCCTCTTCACCACCTATTTGGATCACTTGTTATTCCCTTGTCCCTGGGTTTGTTAACACTTAAGGAATTATTAACAGTCAAAAAAAAAAAAACCAACAACAAGAAAACAAAACAACATCTTAAAGTTTGAACAGCAAATACTGTTACTGGAGTTCAAAGATGTACCTCAGGTGTAAGCTCCCTCACTAAGAGACAGATGGTTGAGGTTTCTACTCTCCATATCCGCTCTAATCTCTCTCTCTCTTGTTCATTGCCATTTTAATTGCGGTAAGAGAGCCTTTTCATATTTTAATGGTACTGTAACAAATATCACAAATGAGTGACTTTAATGAACAGAAATAATTCCCCGCCCCGCCCCATATTTGCTACTTGCTTTCAAGTGATTTTGATTCATGGTAACCTCATGAGTTACTGTTATAGGAGGCTGTAAGTCTCAATTCATGGCACTTATTGTAGAAGTTGGCATTATCTCTGTCCCCCGTGTGGGAAAACACTTGTCTTAGCTTCTCAGGAGATGTTCTTGATGTTACAGGGTTCCTTGGTGATCTCTACATGACGCATATCTTTCTCCTCTTGTAGTTTATCTCTCTCTGATTTGTATTTTTATATCTCAAAAGTGATTAATTAGATTTAAGACACACCCTACACTTATATGGCCTATTACCAAATGGGATTGTATACATAGTTCCAGAGGCTAGGATTCCAATAGAATTTTCGAAGACACAATTCAGTACATAACAGGTGGCATCAAGTTGCAGTTTTGATTTTCAACTCCCTAATGGTGGCAATTGAGCCCTGGTGGCATAGTGTAGATTATGCATTGGTCTGCTAAATCCAAGGTCCCTCACTGAGGGTGAAAGATGAGGCTTTTTGCTCCCCAAAAGATTTATAGCCTTGGAAACCCACAAGGACAGTTCTTCTCTGTCCTGTAAGATTGCTTTGAGTTGGAATCGTTTTTGCTTTCTTTGTTTTTAATGGTGGCCCTGTTCGGTAAGTGTTGTGCTGCTAACTGCAAATTTAGAGACTCAGTCCTACTAGGTTCTTTGTGGGAGAAAGAGGAAACTGTCTGCTCCCATAAAGATTTCCAATCTCAAACAGATTTATAGCTGAGCAAACCTTTTATAGTGTCTCTGTGTCTCGGGATTGACTTGATGGCAGTATTAAATGATAGACAAGGAGCTATGGTGCAGGGTTAAAGTGCATGGTTGCTAACCCAAAGGTTGGTGATTTGAACCCATCAGTGGCTTATTGGGAACAATATATGATAGCATCTTGTTACCATACAGTTGAAAGCATTGGGCATCCTATGAGGCTGTACAGCCTTGTTCTATACCTGGCAATGCTTTTAATGACCAGTGCTGTTGATTATCTTTCCATATGCTTGTGAGATGTTTGTTTAAGTCCTTTGTACATTTTTTCATTGAGTTGTTTGTCTTTCTGTTTTTTGAGCTGTAGGAGTTATTTCTAATGTATGAGGGTAAGTAACAAAGAATTGCTATGGAAACCTTTATTAAGTAAAAAATATCAAAATGTAAAATAATTGTTTCTCAAAATCTAGGTCTATACACTTTTGAATTTGGCATTTCTATTTCTAACCCTGTGCTGAAGACTCTTGTGCTTTTAGATTTACACTCTCAAAATCGGATATCCCCTTACAGACGGGTCTTGGGGGGAAGATGAGCGAGTCTGGGTGCAGTGTAGCAAAGATGAAACATACAACTTTCCTCTAGTTCTTTAATGCGCCCCCCCCCACCCCCCGCACACTATCATGATCCCAATTCTACGTTACAAATCTGGCTAGAACAGAGGATGTACAATGGTACAGATAGGAACTGAAAACACAGGCAATCCAGGACAGATGAACCCTTCAGTACCAGTGGTGAGAGTGGCTATACCAGGAGGGTGGAGTGAAGGTGGGGGTTGAAAGGGGGAACTGGTCACAAGGATCTACATGTAACCCCCTCCCTGGGGGATGGACAACAGGAAAGTGGGTGAAGGGAGACGTCGGACAGTGTAAGATATGACAAAATAATAATTTATAAATTATCAAGGATTCGTGAGGGAGGGGTTGGGGAGGGAGGGGAAAAAATAAGGAGCTGATACCAAAGGCCCAAGTAGAAAGCAAATGTTTAGAGAATGATGATGGCAACAAATGTACCAATGTGCTTGACACACAATGTATGTATGTATGGATTGTGATGAGTTGTATGAGCCCCCAATAAAATGATTAAAAAAAAGAAGAAACCTTAAAAAAAAAAAAATCTGTGAGTGGATCTTGTAGTTTGAATTTAGGATCCTTGCTACTCCGGAGAGCTGTAGCGCTATAGGAGGCAGCTACATGAGACTGCAGCGACCCAGAGACCCTATAGGACTGAGTAGAACTGTTCCATAGGTTTCCAAAGCTATATATACATCTTCACAGAAGCACATCATTACATCTTCTGTGGAACAGCTGGTAGGTATGAACCACTGGAATTTTGATTAGCATTGGAAATTGAGTACTATGTTATTGGGGCTTCTTGGCACACAACAACAATTTTCAGTATGTTTTTTTGTTTTTGTATTTTCTCCCTCTGAAATTGTAAAACAAATCCCACACATTTTTATTTCAGCACTATGTATTTTAGTCGCGCTATGGGCTAGGCATTGGGTTGCTAACCACAAGGTTATTAGTTCAAACTCACCAGTCTAGAAAGAGTCTAAGAGGGCCACTGAGAATCAGAATTGACTCAGCAGCAGCAGGATACATTTTGGTATGCCTTTCTAAAAGTAAAGACCCTGTCTTGCCATACCCACAGTATAAGTATCATAGCTAACCAACCAGACTGTTGTTTTTATTAACATCTAGTGCCTCAATCCATAGTTAACTTACTGATGATCTCAAAATGCAAAACTAAACTTCAACTCATAGCAAACCTATGGTATCATCTCAGATTGCTTGAATTGAGGCCAGAGCAAGATTCTTTTGTTTCAGTACCTTTGTTCAGTCTTTTAACATCATACGGCCTTTCTCCCCTGCTTCTGCTCATTACCTTTGTCTCTTTGCTAATACATGGTCTCATTTCCCTAATTCCTTTATTTGTCACACATCCACTATAAAGCAAAGATCAGTTATAAAGTCTTTTTTTAAAATCGAGGGCTCTTACAGTTCTTATAACATTCCATACATGGATTGTATCAAGCATATTTGTACGTATGTTGCCATCATCATTTCCCAAACATTTTCTACTTGAGGCCTTGGTATAAGCTCCTCTTTTTATCCCTCCTTCCCCCAACCTCCCACCCTCATGAATCCTTGATCAATTATATATTGTTATTATTAATTGTGTTGTTATTATTAATTGTAAAGTCTTGGTTAGATGAATTCATCACCGTTCTTGGTAGCTCTAGACTTTTTTAATGCTTATCTACCCGAATAATTTTTAATATAAATGACCAGTGATTTATTTTTGGGGCCATCATTTATTTTATTTTTAAAACTTTTTTATTTTGAATTAGGTAAAAATTTACAGAGAAGTTCATGAGTTTTATATTCAGTACTTCATGCATATTTTATTTCAACTAATCCATTTCAGCTCCTTCCGTGTCACCCCATTTATCCTATTTCCTTGCAGCCTTTTCTGTTTCCATTTCTCCCTTTTCCCTAGCCCTCTGTAGGCCAATGCTGCCCTTTTGATCTTACATGGTTGATTATTAATATGCCATCATTTAAAATGATGTTATACTACTTCATGATAAAAATACTTATTTTTAAAATTATATTTTGGTAATCAGTTATGGGAAACAGAAGGATTTCTCCCAAGTTGTCTCCCCCAAATATATGCCAGACTTGGCTGATTGAAAATGACTGTACACTTGGAGGTCATCAGGAGTGGATTGGGGGTCATTCTCCCTGAGAGCTATCAGCTGTCTAGACGGAGCAGACACCACTGTTTATTCCACAATAATAAGGATAGTAGTTGTCTGTTTCCTTGTAGGAGACACCAGAGAGGTCAAACCCGCCCAAGGATGACCAAGGTTAGGCTGCCATCATGAATCTAGAGTCCGCCCATCTTGTCACATGTACACCCCTAGACCTTCCCATTCCTATGGGCACACTCCTAGCTCATCCCCTTTCTGTTATGGCTTATGCCTATCATAGATCACCTTCCTACAATGTGTATGCCTATTGTACTGCCCCTTCCTGTGATGTGTGGTTATCTGTAATCATGCCCCCTAAAGTGATAGATTGGTTAGCAATAAAGAAAGGGCTCTCTCCGGCTCCCGGGGGCCCCAAGGGCTCTCCCCAGTTCTTGGGCTCGAGAGGCTCCCCAGTTCTCGGGCTCCGAGGCTGCTCCTGTTCTCGTGGCCAGGTTCCCCCCACGAGGACCATCAAGTGGGGCTGAGGTGAGCAATGCTACCATGAATTGTTTCTGACTCCATTACTTGACGCTATCCTTTACCTCTCATGCTCTCTATGACTTTACTATAATCTTTACTTATTATCGCTGTACAATTGTGCCTACCGGACCTGTGATGATTTGTGGGGGACCCCTCTCTCCTCTTCACCCCACAAACAGTTGATAAAATAACTGGTTTGCTCTGTTTTTGTTTTGTTTTTATTAGGGTCACCTATTAGCACATCTTTGGAATCATCACGGATGAATAATAAGGAACATGAGGTAACCTTTTATATATTTGTTATCAACTGGTGATGTATTGGAGTCCCTGGATGGACTAGTTAGATGTTCTGCTAGTGAGACGATTGGAGGTATGAGTTCATTCATAGATGCACTGGAGAAAAGGACTGGCACTCATCTGAAAATCAGCCTCAGGAAAGCATCTAGAATTTCATTCTCTTCTTACACAGGGCTGCCATGAGTCACAGTTACACTCAGTGGTAACTGGGAGAGAAGATATAGGGGAGCTAACATTCATTTCTGTACTATGCTAATATTAGGTAGATGTTGTCTATTTGTCAGTACTAGAAATCTGCTTTACTGCAACAAAAAAACCAGAGTTTATTATTACAGAAAGTTGAAGGTAGCTGACTCTGTGAAGTTGTTCTTTCCTCCGTGATGTCATCAGGACTGTCAATATTGCTCTGTTCTACTTCCCTCCGAGGGCTAGTGCCCTCCATCTAGAAATTTGGCTCTGTTAGGACAAAAATTTCTCATTGTTTTGTTTATTGTGTTCTGCAGTCTATAAGCCTGCTCCTAAGCCTAAACTATTAATGACCAAAAAGGAAGAATATGATTTTCCTTCCAGTATTAAAAAAAAAAAGACACCGTTTTGTATTTTTTCAAAAAGAGGACAACATTCTTTAGTTCTATTTAGGCTGTAAGTTCTTCCCTGACTAAATCATTCCTGATCTGCATGGTCAGTTCAGGTATTCTGACTTAAGAAGCTGGATCTCATCTTATAATCTCTCTCTCTCTCTCTGTGGTGTGTACACATGAAGATGTGCACATGTACAAATAGAGGAATTAAACAGACAATCCCATGAAATGAAATAGATGAGATCCTTAAAGGAAGTATCTATGTCCATCACAAACCATGAACTGGGGTTTCTGGCATGTCATGTCATGTTTGTGAGACCTTTTCTAAAATATAAAATAAATACCTCCAAAACTTAAGTGATTTTCCTTTTTTTAATAGAATATTTTTATAAGTTAATGGAAGTGAAACAATAAGAAGAGAAAAATGAGAATGCTGACACAATATGAAGGATGTAACCAATGCCACTGAATATCATGTTTAGAAGCTTTTCAATGGAAACATGTTTTGCTCTGTATTATTTTTACCAAAAATACAACGCAGTATTACATTTTTTACTAGTATTTATTGGGAGGTGGTGGGGGGGTTGATTGGTGACTTATTGTTTAAAGAGATCATGGGTTTTTGATTGAGGTGATAAAATCTTTTTGAGATGGATAGTGGTTAGGTTGTACAGCATAGTGAATGTAATTAACGTCAGTGAATTATGCACTCAAAAATGGTTAAAATGGCAAAGGTTTAACCAAGCATTATGTCCTTTTCCAGGACATTATAACATATTAGATGAAGTTCCTCATTGCTTCCTTCCTTTGGAGTAAGACGGACTTGTTTGTTCTTCAGGCAGTCCAAAATACTTTGAATATTCTTTCTGAACACCATAATTCTAGTGCATTAATTCTGTATTTTTCCTTATTCATTGTTCAACTTTCACATGTATATAAGGTGATTGGATCAGGAATATTTTAGTCCTCAAAGTAACATCTTTACTCTTTAAGACTGTAATGTGGTCTCTGTTCAACAGATTTACTCAATGTAATAATTTGATTAATTTCCTGACTGCTGCTTCCATAAGCATTGATTGTGGATCTATGCAAGATAAAATACTTGACAACTTAAGTATTTTCCCAAATTCTTTGAATATGTGCAAAACTCTGAGAAAGACCTTGCATTTTAAGGACTTTTTAATTGAGTGGATGAGGGGAGTGTGAGGTTTAGAGTAGGGAAAGGGCAGTTACTACACATGAAACAACTAGAAAACAGTTTTAAAACAGCACAAAGCAAAAAGGTCCTTCATTGGCTAAATTGTCGATTGCAGATCCCGAGCACATTGATTTTGGAGAAAGTACCTTGTCTCTGTATTCCTGCTCCAAATTTTTCACAGCAGTGATGGTGCTTTTCAACATGATTTTTTCATTTCTTACAGATTGTTCTTGCTCCTGGAACACAGCTTAAAGAAAAAACTCCAAATGGTGACTTAAGCTCTACTATCTTATTAGAAAATGAGAGACTTATGTCATTGACAAGCTTTGAAGATTCATCTGGTACTGTAAAATAACTTGTGCTTTCCTCTTCCTTTACCTTGTCACTCCACTTGACTTCATTGTAGCAGTTACTGTGCCAACTTTGTTTCTTTGTCCTCCTTGTTTTCTTTTTTTGCTGTAACCTGCCAGTACTCTAGTAGCTATTGCTGTTAAGTGATGGGTTAAGAAAACTACCCTCTAATATTATGAATATATAATTCTTTTATTTTTATTTTTTTTAAAATTTTATTTATTTTTTTACATCATTTCTCAAAACATTTTCTCTCCATTTAAACCCCCGACATTAGGTCCTCATTTTCCCCCTCCCTCCCCGCTCCCCCCTCCC